TATCTTCAATGGAGGCGGAATATATGGCTTTGTCTGAGGCCGCCAAAGAAACCGTCTACCTACGTCGTTTCCTGAAAGGAGCTGGGTTACAACATAGAAAACCCAACAACAATATACTGCGACAATCAAGGAGCTCAGAAAATTACCGAAGAACTCAGTGTTTCACTCCCGTACAAAGCACATAGGTACATTCGCCATCATTTTGTGCATGAAGTATGTGAACGCGGTGAATTAAATGTGAAGTACATAACCTACCAGTGAAATGGGAGCTGATGTGTTAACCAAACCTCCTGACTCCCAGTTAAACATCGAAACTGTTGTACAATTATAGGATTGAATACTGTTTAATATGTATTTTGTTTTTGTTTTACTTTTCAGGAATAGGAAGAATCAACGTCGAAAGGGGATATGTTGGCAACCGCCGTTGATTTCCCTAGCGCATGCGCATGATAAGCGAGTTCTCTGCTGCGTAACACTTATACTTAGTTAATAGGTAGTTAGCCAAAAGTCAATGGTGAGTATTGCATGTAAGCGAGAAGGGCTAAGCGCTGTGTAATATCTTGTTTCTACTCTGCTGTTCAACGTCTTCGTAGTTTAAATAAATGTTTGTCATGTGTGTGGAAGATGTCATTTTATTCTTCAAGAACAAATTATTTTTTTGATTTTAATGTAAAAACTCTCCTGGTATTTCATTCCTGGATTTGTTTTCTTTTGATATAATGCCTTAATTTCTTTGACATATTTTAATATGCACATATATATATGTTCTTACAGATATCATAAAAAATATTCTAGGCCGTATATATACAGCCTTGTTGCTTAGAGGGTTAAACAACTTCCGTTCAAAACTTCAAAGCTTTAAATATTCCTACCTTTTGATTGCCACATGCAAGAACCAAAACTAAAAAAAATAATTAACTAAATAAAAATTAAATGAAAACATTCATAAATTATAAACTTCACATCATCTAAAATCCAACATTCTCCCACCAACAACAGCTTAACCTTCTGCAAATATTTATAAATATATATATAACAATAATATTAAACAGTAAAACTTTTTAAAAACAAACACAGTATTTCAAAATTAAATTTTTAAAAAATTCTGGCTACACTAAATTCGTGCTCTTACAGTTACCGAAATAAAGCTCTAGGTTTGTCACAAGAAAACAATACATCCGGAAACCATAACCAAATCAAAATCGCGCCAAATAAAAAAAAACTCTTGCCATGCTTGGCACTCACTCCGATTATGGAATTTTAACCTAATATTATATGCTATTCTTGATTCTGGTTTAATCCTTGTTCAAAACACTTTACTTTTATACCTGGACTACAAAAATCTATGTTTTCTAACTGTTAGGAAGAAGCAAATTCATAAATTATTTTATCAATATTAATTTTGGTACAACTCTGATATACGCCCTAATTTCACCAAATGTGGCGATATGTGCTCTGAGCTGGTTTTTGGTGGTGTGTTTGCATGTTATAAGGCAACCCTGTTGACATTGAAAAATCTTTTGCTGGAGCTCGTTGGTTTGCGCCATGCTCTGTGTCTGAGAGATAGGGGGAAAGGGAAAAGATAAAATGGTGGAAGTTGTTGAATTAAAGTTCGGCAAAAGGAAATAGCATCATGGCCATCCTGTTGAGGGAGGGGCAGTGGGTATTTGGGAGATGTGGAAAGAGGGTCTGGGAGATTATTTTAGTGGCTGTGCATGATAGAAGTAGGGATTTGTGATTATTTGTGATTTTACTTATTTGTGAACCATAGTATGTATGAATTTTCTGGATAGTGTGTCTGGCTGTCATATAAATACAGTAGTGATTACGTGGCGGCATTTTAAAGGCGGTATGAAATTGGTATTTCTTCTGTTCGAAAAAAGCATTAATTCATGGTAACCGCATTTTATTTTATTATTGTTCTTATTTTGTAGAATGTTATGTTCATTGTTTTTTAGTATGAATTTCTGTCATTATTGTAGTTTTTTTTTAATTGTTTGAAATTTATTTTAGTTATTTAGTTTATTTTGTTGATTAGTGCGTAGCGTCTAGATTGTGCAATTCGTAGATGTTTTGTAAAGTTGAAACAGAACACTGCATCCATGGTATTCTTTGAAATTTATTGTTTGTTATATTAATTTATTTATTTGTTATGTTAATTTATTAAAGCGAGGTGTGCGTAGTTCGTAGATTCGTTTGTTGTCTAGATTGTGCAATTCATAGATTTTTTTTAAAGTTTAAACAGGATGCTGTATACATGATATTCTTTGAAATTTATTGTTGTTATGTTAATTTATTAAAGCGAGGGGTGTGCATAGTTCGTAGATTCGTTCGTTGCCTAGACTGTGCCATTCTTAGATGTTTTTTTAAGTTAAAACATATCGCTGTGTACATGGATTCTTGTCAAATATTTTTGGTTAGAAACTTTACTTTTTGCTATCTAAATTTTTTGTTTTTGTTTCGGATTTTTAGCTTAAATTGTGTGTTCAAAACGTGGTTTTGCATGTGCGAAAACCGCATTTTTGGAGATATTTTAGGCTTAAAGTTCGAAATGTAGACAAAAAATTTAGATAGTAATATGGCAGCATGGAGTGTCTTGCCAAAAATATTTGGTGACTTGAGGGTGCATATCAGAGTAGTTCCTTCATTTTTTATGCTCGATTATTCTTAATTAAGAGCAAAACTGACAAGTCTTTCCTATTCTAACTGCTTCACAAATAGTTTTCAATTAATTTCAGTTTTGAAAATGATTGTTCAGCCATAGCCACAATCACATGAATCTTTAAGTACATGATGTATACAGTGCATACACGAGAAAAACTCAAAGAAGCAAACTCTGATTTATTGTCAACAATTCTGCTAATCCTTTGACACTATTAATTTTTTCAAGTACCTCTTTAAATGATGCCTTCACTACACATAATTGGAATGGAAATGTTGATGACACATTATCCAAATACATTTGCACAAAATCAATTCCTTTGTCATGGATCTCCTTTTTTCATTTATTTTCATAATATATTCCAGTTGAATTACTTGGTAAGTATTAACCCTTTTGTGATGGCACACCTTTGTTGAAGACGCTCGTGTGGGACAGAAAGGAATCGAAGGCAGTCGCATCGCTAAGCCTAATTTTATTAAAAAAAATCAGAAAAACAAGTTTCACTTCTAGCATCGTAATTTTTGGTATTTTAGATTATTGCTTGAGCTCTTATATATGTTAAAATTAGCATTTATAGCCTTTTTTTTTTTTTTTTTTTTTTTCTTTATTATTTTACATGAAAATTTATTTAAAAAATTGCTTACCTTGTAAAATAATTTTTGGAAGTTCTATTCAAATTATTCCAAAGTTTAATTGATAAAATCCATCAATAAAGTTTTAAAATTAATAAAACAATACAATAAAGAATATTTACAGTAAGAAGTAACAGAATTTAAAATGAAGACTGAGTGTAGTAAATCTCGAAGACAGAGAAGTATCACTTTCTAACTCTTAGAAAAATTATCACTTTCTAACTCTTTAGAAAATGAATCATCATTCTCATCTGTGTTAGTAAATGGTTCATTGACCATACAAGTGTATTCTTCCTCTGAAAAACAGCGCCTGAATAAAAATACTGCCATAATAGACTGGAGGTGAGGCTTTCTGAAATAAAAGAGAAGAACCCGAAATATGTCTGTGGCAATGCAAAACGTAATAGAGCTCCACATAGTAATCCTAAAAGACAGTACATGGTAGAGGAAAAAATAGAATAAAAAAAGAAATTGGATATAAATCAGACACGCCAATGTTTATATTAGCATGCGGGGATTAGCCCACCTCTATTTACACTTTCCCTCCCCCACCTTCACAACAGTTGATAAGTAAAATACCAAAGTCAGGCAGAATATATCAAACTCAAACTATGTTCACTAAAACTGTGTTCATTTCAAAAGTAATAAGCATAGGATGCCATCTCGTGGTCTTCAGAAAAAGTTCCAGATTAAAATTTGTATATGAATCACCCATCCTCTGAATGCAATCTCTAGCGATGCGTGGATGGGATCCCCGGCTGTAAGAGATATTCTTAGGAAGTGCATATATGGGATGCCCGTCCTGAAAGGGTTAAGAATCTTCAAGGAAACAAAGATGAAGCTGAGTGTATAAAGTACTTATCATTAGATAAAACACAATTACTTTAAAATATGATTCTGGATTTTTTAACCATTCATCTTTACCCAATTCACCATAATGTTCTTGCAGTTTTCTAACCCTACTAAGACAAAACAGTTTAACTATTTTCCAAGATCTTCGAATTTTCTTGACATTTCAACATTGTTAAAGAAAGCAGTCTCCAGTAACCGATATACTGATAATAGATCTACAGCTTTAGATTACAAAAGACTTTGAAACAATATTTAGGAATCCTGAAGTTAATTCAATATTACTAAAAAATCACAATAATAACAACAAGCTATTCTAGAGTGTCTTTTGATTATCCATGGCCCCAGTTTCAACTTTAGATAAAACAATTATCATACACGTATTTGTATATGTATGGATTTAAACATTTTGTATTTAACTGTCATTTTTTATCTTCTTTCCCTTCAGCCAAATACATTTTAGTTATCCTTATAAAATTTGTTTCTGATAAAATGCTTCTTTTTAATATTATTCATGAAATAAATAGTAGTACCTATAAGCTTTAAAAGCAGCTGAATATTTAAAATCATTTGCAAAATAACCAATGACTTGGTAACTTTTTGCGGGAATGCAAATAATTATGCAATATGATTTTAATGCATGAATCAAGTTAAATCAAATAATTGAAACTAATGTATGTTTATATTGTCCAAGAATCTAACAAAACTTTAATATTGAAAATGCATAAATTAATAAAATTTTGTTTCACATCCATTAATAAATATTGCCATAGAATTTTTCAAAAAATTGTCTAGCATATTATATTAACCACGAGAGTACTAAAATATTAAACTTACTTTTAAACTTTTATTTCTTATAGAAAAACCACGAAACCATCCTGAAAATAATTCATATACATATTATTTTTTAAAAACTGAAGCAGAAATTTATCACAAAAAAAGTAATATTAAGCTGAGCATTAAATAACACAAAAATGCAAAAAAAGTCAATTTAAAAACAAAGTTCATACATATAATCATTACACTCTTATTAGTTAAAATCTGGTTAATTCAAAACTTCAGTTAATTAAAACTAGTAATCCAAAAGCCCCCAAAAACTTGAATTGGAATTAATGTTAAAAATATCTCATTAATCCAAACTAAGTTTTTATGGAGAAAATACATGCTATATTTACTATTTTGTGTGTCAATATCATCAGTATTTTTTTTTCCCCCTGTGTAAAGAGGCACATGCTTGCATTTGTATAACTATTATAATATTAAATTAGTAAAGTAAGTTAAAGTAAACTAACTTACTTTATAAAAACTGCTCTAACAGTCTGCAAAAAATAATAAAGCCGAATCCATTTCGATGATTAAGGAACAACGCAATCTGCAACATAACTGAATTAGATAATTTTAGCTTAGCTTAAGCTTATCCGTTATACATTAAACTCGCATTTGTAAACGTTATTGTTGCGCAACCACACATTCGCTTCGCAATAAAGATGCGCAGAAGTTTGTAGCTTGAGGTCCGGATTACAGATCATTCTCTGGGGTGTCCGTCCGAATTAACGACTTTTGACTGTATGTCATTGGAAATTATTAATATCGTGGAAATAATAATATATATCATTGAAAATTATTTTATACGAAATATAATGCAGTTTAATGTAGCAAATTATCTTTATTATGTAAAATATTATAATAGTTATAAAGGCAAGAAAAAAGAAAAACTATCTCCTATAAAGAAAGGAAATTACTTAATCTTCAAAGTGAGAAAAAACCATGAGTTATGATGCAGCAAAACAAATCCAAGAAGGTTTAGCATAACATCATTTGCAACCAGAATTCAGGATAAAATATGTTTAATTGCTTCACTACCAGTTAATTTTTCTTTGTGCATGTGTGTTTTTTAGGGTAATTTCTGCATGTAAGCTGTGAAATTTGCTTAGGATGACAAGCAATCAAAAAAAAAAAAAAAAGTAGTTCACTCATCACCAAGAAACGCACGTAGAGAATTTTTTTAAGTGAAAAATTTAACATTTATAGCACTATTAAAAAAAGGTGAAAACGTAACACAGAAAGAATTTTTGGTACAACTCTAATATAAGCCCTAATTTCACCAAATGTGGCGATACGTGTTCTGCGCTGGTTTTTGGCACGATTGCGTGTTCTATGGCAACCCTGTTGACGTTGAAAAATCTTTCGCTGGAGCTTGTTGGTTTACCTCTGTGTCTGAGAAGATGGGAGGGAAAGATAAAATGATAGTTGTTGAATTGAAGTTCGGCAAAAGGAAATATGATTGTGGCTATCCTGTTGAGGGGTATTGGGTATTTGGAACTGTGGAAAGAGGGTCTGGGAGATTATTTTAATGGCAGTGCATGACAGAAGTAAGGATTTTAATGGCAGTGCATGCTAGAAGTAAGGATTTGTAATTTTATTTATTTGTGAACCATAGTATAAATTTTCTGGATAGTGTGTCTGGCTGTCATGTAAATGCGATAGTGATTACATGGCGGCATGTTAAAGGCGGTATGAAATTTATATTTCTACTATTCAAAAACGCATTAATTCATGGTAAGTGCATTTTATTTTATCCTTGTTCTTATTTTGTAGAATGTTATGTTCATTGGTTCTTTAGTATGAATTTCTGTCGTTATTGTTGTTTTTTTAAATTGTTTGAAATTTATTTTAGTTTATTTTGTTGTTTAGTGTCTAGACTGCACAATTCGTAGATGTTTTTTAAAGTTGAAACAGAACGCCGTGTACATGGTATTATTTGAAATTTATTGTTGTTATGTTATCGTAGATTCCTTCCTTGCCTAAATTGTGCAATAAATAGATTTTTTTTAAAGTTTAAACAGGATGCTGTGTACATGGTATTCTTTGAAATTTATTGTTGTTATGTTAATTTATTAAAGCAAGGTCTGCATAATTTTTAGATTTGTTCGTTGCCTACATTGTGCAATTCGTAGATGTTCAATTCGATGTTTTTTTAAGTTAAAACATGTCGCTGTATACATGAGATTCTTGTCAAATATTTTTGGTTACAAACTTTACGTTTTTGCTATCTAAATTTTTTGTTTTTGTTTCGGATTTTTAGCTAAATTGTGTGTTCAAAACGTAGTTTTTGCATGTGCGAAAACCGCGTTTTTGGAGATATTTTAGGCTAAAAGTTCAAAATGTAGACAAAAAATTTAGATAGTAATATGGCAGCGAGAAGTTTCTCACCAAAAATATTTGGCAAGAAATTTGGCGACTTGAGGGCGCATATCAGAGTAGTTCCGAATTTTTAAACTGTGAAATATGTATCAGCAGATTTAGCTGATTGAAACTCAAACTACTAAAAGTAGGAAATGGTCCATAATAGCATGTTATGAGAGAAGAACCATACAACTATACTGCAGTGACAACAAAAAGAAAAGTCTATATTATCCTGTCAACCATGGAAGTTGACTCCCATCAAAGTACGAAAGTTGTGCCAATATTTTCTGTGAAACTCTGAGCTTCTATCTGGAACCCTTACAATAAAACATTTACTGGTTTCTCTGTACAAACCACCAAATAGCCATTGCAGCAAAAGTATTCAACCTGCTTCATTTTTGCATTTTATAAAAAGGTTTTCGTCAATTTCTACTGTTTAATTAAGCTTTCCAATTTAGCAGAAGTTTTATTTGGAACACTATGAGTACATACTTCCCACAGATGATTGCTCCTATATGTTACTGTTCTGTCAGCAATATCCAGGTCTCCTTTCAGATGTGGTTTAACAGATGTTAATTTGCTCAATCAGAGTGCAGTCAGAAATGTCATTCTACAGTCCTGAATTCATGTTTTTCAAAATGTATGAAAAAAAGAGCAACAACAGTTAATTTATAACCTTGTTTATAAAAACAAAAGGTGACTTATGTAGAATGTGTTATCATGTTGCAACATCATGCTTATCCTTAATATACGCTAAATTCTGCTTTTTGGCCACCGATCCAAGGTTGATACGCAAACAACCCTCCGCCAAAAATGAACTACAGCAAAAATGATTCATGTAAAAATGGTGCAAACATAAGTGCCAGACAAGAACTAAAAATTATATTTTAGGGGGCCAAAAAAAATTAGATAAATCATTTGGAGAGATGAAATCTGAGTATCATATTTAATAATAACATAATAAAATGTGTCAAACATGAATATTTAGTGCCTACTTTTAAAAAAATACTGAATCACTATTTCCAAACAATATCATCTCATCACCATGCTCTGTTTTAGAATTTAATACAAATGATTAACTAATTACATATTCAGAATTTCAAAAATCTAATATAAATCAGACATCTATAAAATAATCTAGTCAAAAACATTATAAATACACACAGAAAATGTAAATTTATGCATGCAAACACAATAGAAATTTCACAACTTTCATTCAAATATCTCACAAATTAAATGAGATCAATACATGGAATACTTTTAAAATACTTAGTAGTAAACATATCGTTAATTAAATATATAATGGATCCAACACACAAACAGTTCATATACTTTTAAAAATACTAAAAATCATGGCTAAATTATTCATACATTCATTCACATATTTCTTACAGCTGAATTTTCCAAGTCAGACAAAAAGAATTTGAGGAAAAATTATTTTATTACATTTTAACTTTACAAAAATTGTACCTATTCTTCTAGTAACACTATTGGTTTAAATCTGTAAATAGCTGTAAGCCTATATGGCAATCCTAAATCTTAATATAGTAAAACAAGAATTCATATAAAAAGAATTTCTTAAATAACTGCACGTTCAAAAGAATATCCCATTCTCTTAATATCTGAAACAAAAACCTGATTAACAGTACAGTATTAATGAGAATTTATTGTGTGATTTAGAACAGTGTTTCTCAACTGGATTTACTCTAAGGACCGGTAAAAATATTTCGAAAGATTCTCACGGACTGGTAAGTTTAATAATTGAACCCATTCGCACAATTTTTTCACATAAATAAATCATCATCTATTATTTTCTAAACTAGTAAACTATTGTTACTGTAATGTAGGTGCTGTTGTAATATCGGTTGTTGGCCGATGGCACTTTGGATTTTGGACAGATAGCTGGATATTTCGCAGACCAGCAAATTTTTCTTGCGGACCAGTGTCCATGGACCAGTGTCAGTCCACGGACCAGCGGTTGAAAAACACTATTTAGAAGACAGTTGTCCTCTTGATTTAGAGGTGAACTAAAATGTTACAATGTAGCATAATTTTATATTAACATACATTCAAAAAAATATTACATACCACTACATTCTTCTAAGATTTGCACAGTCTCACCAATTTCAAGTGGAAGTCCATATTTTGTGTTTCCATCATAATTATAAATGCCTTAGAAACAAGGAAGCAACCAAAAATTATTACATTAAAAACATGATTTTTTAATCATTTAAAAATTCAATACTGCATAGAATTGCAGAAAGATTTCTTAGATGTACACTTAAATAATACTGAAAAAGTTTACTAATTAAGATAAGTTTAAAAAATTGGAAAATTTAGAATATTGGAAGTCAGGAAAAATGATTTAACTGCACATTCTGCACATTCCTTAGAACATAATAATTATAAATACTTTAAAAACAAGGAAGTAATATAAATTATTGTGTGACGACCATATTTAAATCGCTTAAAAATTCCATTCTCAAATAAAACACAGAACAACAAGTTTAGAGAAAAGACCGAAAAATTCATATAGAAAAATAAGTCTAAAACTGAAAACAAATAGCAAATTCCTCAAGTATTAAAATTAAATGCTGAGTTTAAAAAACTTAAATTACACTACTTCGAAGTAATACTCACAATAGACCTCTTAGAAGTTACCATGTTTACGGCAAATATTATAATATTTGAGAAATTTCAAAAATCAAGTAGTTAATACATGAGCACAATAAAGCACATAATACGGAATGCTATGAAATTGTTAAAAAATAAATATAAATGAAGCTTCTATATTCAAGAAGTTTGTTTACAAAAACTTTACATCATTAATAAATTTCCAGTTTAATATATTTAATGAACAAAATATGCAAAAATTATAGTTTAAATATGACAAAGTGAAAAACTAATCGACGGCAATAATGTGACAAACAATAATAATTATAACTCAGATCTTTTAACAATAAAAAAATCGTGTAAAGGTGTAAACGGCATTTAAAAAAAAAAAAAAAAAACTAACATCGAAGAGCTGTCAAAATAATTAAATACCCCACAAAAATAAAGTGTTCACAGATAACTACTAAAATTAATAAATTTTAAATATTTTAAAAGGTTGATGAATACTTACATACTCCCAATTTTTTATTTTTGGTAGGATTCCACATTATTCTAATCTCACCTAATAAATTATTACCTTAAAATTAGCGCATACTTTTCTCTCACACCTACAACACGCCATATTTTCATTCATGTCGTTGCCAACGTTCAAAAAGGATACTTTAGCAATCTTGCTTTTAATCAAGAAGAAGGAGATGAGGATTTTCGTGAACACCGTTTACTCCAGTCCATGAGTACTCAGATATTCAAAAAAGGATACTTGAAACTAATGAATGATTAAAAGATCCCAGCTTGGAGAATTAAAACGCTTGAAAATAAATTTCTGTTATAAGTAACAGGCCTCGACATACGCTGAAAGCTTAGTGTTGTAAAATGAACTGAAGTAATAACCGGCACAAGGCGCTGCTGTTTGTGACGTCAGCCTGAGTGCTGAGTGTTTTCGAATGTTTTGCGTGTGGACGAACGAAAGCTGATCTCGGAAGAGTGATACTGTTTTGATGGAAATAAAGAATGATTTATTAAGAATTTTTTTGTCTTTATTCATAATGCACCCAACCTCGGGTAGAGGCAGGCCCGCAACTGAACGAACTGTTTTAAATGTATTTGATTTATATATTTTCTGTGTTCTTCGTAACATAGTGGTACCCTCGGCGGGATCGGGTGCTTTAAATTAGAATTTTCCGATTGAACTTTTGATATTGAATTTCGATTTTGAATATACTTTGAAGATGGATTTGATCGCTTTAAAGGCTCAAAGAAAAGGACTTAGAATTGCGTTTTCGCAAACCTCAAGGAAAACCGAAAGTGAATTAACTAAAGAAGTAAGAGATTTGAAAATACTTTCGATTTTGAAGTGTCAACTTTGTGATAAATTCCAGAGACTTGACGTATGCCAGAGTGCTATATCGCAGCAAATTCTGCAGACTGAAGATGGAGAAAAATTATTTAGTGATGATTTTCAAGAAGCGGAGAATTATCGAGATAAGTTTCTAGAACAGTGTGCTCAAATAGATGCGGAAATACAAGCCTCCTCTCCTTCAAATAATTCCGAATCTAGGAAATTTAAATTGCCTAAAATTGAGCTTAAAAAATTCAGTGGTGAAGCTAAAGATTACCTGACTTTTTGGAGTCAGTTCCAGAAAATCCACGATGACAAAAGTATCGCCGATGAAGATAAAATGCAGTATCTATTGCAGGCCATGGAACCCAAATCGAAAGCAGAACGCCTAGTCCTTAGCTTCCCGGCAACGGCAGCTAATTATCCTAAAGCCATCGAACAACTAAGAGAGCGCTTTGGACGCGAAGATTTACTTGTGCAAATCTATGTGAGAGACTTGTTAAGCCTAGTGATGAAGAACGCTGTAACCGGAAGAGCAAAAACGGATCTACCCTCCCTGTATGATGAACTAGAAGGAAAATTGCGAGCGTTGGAAAGCTTGGGGAGAACTCAAGAAAAATATGGGGATTTTTGACCCCTTAGTGGAAAGTTGCTTACCAGAAGAAGTACTGATGGCATGGGAAAGAAGCAGAAATCACTACTCCATTGACACTAAAGGGACTCGATCTTTGAAATATTTAATGAATTTCTTAAAACAGGAAGTTAAGGGGGAAGAGATGGTTCTCCTCGCAAGAACTGGTTTCGCTTCCCAACAGAACCATCGGAAGAAAGATTTTAACCACGAACAGGTAAAGCAAAATGATCCCGTAACAGCATCAGCTCTAGTAAGTCTTGAGAATTCAGGTAAGAGTGTTCCGAACTGTAATTTTTGTGAAAAGAAACATTTTAGTGAAAAATGTTACTCTGCAAAAAAAAAAAAAAAAAAAAAAAATGACTTTAGCTGAAAAACAACAATTGTTGTTGAAAAAAGGTGCTTGTTTTTCTTGTCTGAAAAGAGCGAGTCACATTAGTAAATTTTGTCCTTTCAAAGGTAAGTTAAGTTGTTCTATTTGCAAAAGTTGTAATCATTTTGATGTAATGTGTAATCAAAAGCTAAAAAATAATGATCAGATAAATGTTTCAAAAGAGAGTTCTCTTTCTAACTGTGGCAGAAGCGAAACTGTATTTTTGCAAACGCTTTGCGTTCGAATTCGGTGTCAAGGTCGCGAGAGAAAATTATTCGCTGCATAATTGATAGCGGAAGCCAAAGTAGCTACGTTAGTGAAAATATGATGAGTCAGCTTAAAGCATCTCCACTTCGAGGAGGGAGGAGACAGTTATACATGCACTGTTTGGGGGGGACGAAACGAAACCTAAACAACATGAAGTGTTTTCGGTCGAGGTCAGCAATTTAAAAGGAACATTCGCATGTAGTTTTGAGGCATTATCGGAAAAAAAGATTTGCGGTTTTATTCCTAAGGTTAAGGATAAAGAGATTTTGAATGAATTAAAAGAAAAAGAAATCGAATTTTCTGATCCATTGCGAAAGGAAATTGAAATTAACCTTTTAATCGGAGCAGATGTTATAGGAAAATTATTGACGGGAAATTCTATTGAATTACAGTCCGGGGTAACGGCTGTCGAAACGAAACTTGGGTGGACGGTATTTGGAAAACGAAATTCGGGTGAAAAGGATAATATTTTGAAAACATTTTCAATGCATGTCAGGAGAATTCCTCTGAATGAGTTATGGGAACTTGAAAAAATAGGAATATGCGCTCCAAACGAAACTGTTAAAATGAATGAAAGTTTTAATTTATCTGAATTTGAGAACAAAATGAAAATTCTTCCAGATGGAAGATATGAAGTAGAACTTCCGTGGAAATGTGATACGACACATTTAACCGATAATAAAGAATTATCCTGGAAAAGGTATCAAAAGATGATCTATAAACTCAGATGTAGTAAATTTTTCGATGATTATCAAAATGTGTTCAAGGAATGGGAAAGGTTGAATATTATTGAACGCGTACCAGAAAACGAATTGAATAATGAATGTCATTATTTGCCGCATAGGCCTGTAATCAAATTAGGAAGTGAAACCACGAAAATTCGTCCTGTTTTTGACGCTTCTGCATCTGAGAAAGGGAAACTCTCTTTGAACGAATGTTTGTGTAAAGGAATAAATCTTATTGAATTAATACCTGATATTATAGATCGTTTTAGAATGTATCCGATTGGTATTAGTGCCGATATTGAAAAGGCTTTTTTAATGTTATCCGTCGCATCTAAAGATAGAGATTTTCTCAGATTTTTTTTCCCATGCAATGAAGGAGCAATTAATTTATAGGCATTGCAGAGTTGTGTTTGGAGTTTCTTCGAGCCCCTACTTGTTGAACGCATCTATAATGCATCTATTAGAAAACTGTCCACGTCAATATAGTGAAGTTGCTCAAAAATTAAAATCGTCATTTTATGTGGATAATTGTTTATCTAGTGTCTGTAGTATTGATGAACAGTTTACTTTTATTGAACATTCCAAATTAATCATGTCAAATGGATGTTTTAACTTGCGCGGTTTTGAAAGCAATGTGGCTGGTACAAATGTCGACAAACATTCAGGGGATACTTCCGTTTTGGGGGTAATTTGGAATTTGGAATTTGGATAATGATACACTGAGGTGCTGCACAGATACAGATACATTGACCTGTGATACGAAAATCACAAAGAGGACAATTTTGGCAATTGTGCAGACAATTTTTGATCCTATTGGTTTATTAACGCCAACTACATTGCTTCCAAAACTGTTGTTGCAAAAATTGTGGAAAGTGAAAATTGCATGGGATGATGAATTGTCTCCGAATGATGTAAATATATTTTTGAACTGGTTTAAAGAACTTAATGTTTTGAAAGATGTTACTTTGCCTCGATACTTGTTTATCAATGACACGTCTGAACTACATGTATTTGTGGATGCTTGCAAGGGGGCGTATGCAGCGTGCGTCTTTGTTCGATCAATATTTAATTCTGAAGTAAAAATAAATCTCGTACGGGCGAAGTCTAGAGTATCGCCTTTGAAATCTTTAAGCATTCCTCGCTTAGAATTAATGGCCTGTTGTATAGGTTCTAGACTTGCAAATTCTATTATCAAAGCTCTCAGTTTGCCCGATTTAAAAGTTACCTTCTGGTCTGATTCAACCACTGCCCTTTGGTGGATAACAGAGCAAGGAAATTGGTCCGTTTTCGTCGAAAATAGGGTTAAAGAGATTCGAGAGTTGACGCGAGGTCATTCATGGAGACATATCCCAGGGAAACTAAATATTGCCGACTTGTTGTCGCGCGGATGTTTTGCGAAGCAAATGCTTCGGTCTAGATGGTGGGAAGGCCCCTTGTGGTTGCGAGAAGGCCCTGAAAACTGGCCCACTGGTGAGATTATTTATTTGCATGAAGAAGTAGAATTGGAGAGGAAAAAGATAAAAATAGTGAATATTGATCTATCAAAAGACGCACCCCTTGGCATCGAATCAGTGTATCCAATTATGATAAAATGATTAGAGTATTTGCATGGATATTTAGATTTGTAAATAATTGTAAAGGTGGTTCTGAAAAGAATGGAAACATTGAACTTTCACAGTATGAAATTGAAAATTCTGAGAAAAATTTAATTCGTTTGGTTCAAAATTATTATCTGACTGATAAGAAATCTTATAATTTTATTGAAACGCTCATTGATGATGATGGTATTCTAAGAGTTAAAACGAGAATACTAAATAGAGATGACCTATGAATCTTTTCTGTATCCAATACTGTTACCAGAAAAATGTGATTTCACTAAGTTATTAATCAGAAATGTGCATAATAAGAACTGTCATGCTGGTCTTCAGATGATGCAATGCATATTACGAGAAAGATTTTGGATAGTCAGAGCTAGAAAGGCCATTAAAAATGTCCTCTTTAACTGTATCGTTTGTAAAAGATTTAAAACTAAGGCTATGTCAAGCGAACCGACACCTCTGCCACCAGACCGAGTTACGGATTGTGCGCCATTTGAAATCATAGGGATTGATTTGGCCGGACCGCTGTTTTTAAAAAATGGAGGAAAGGTGTGGATCGCGCTGTTCACCTGCGCTGTGTACCGTGCCATTCACCTTGAACTCGTAAATTCTCTTTCTACTGATGCGTTTCTCCTGGCGCTTCGACGATTTGTTGCTAGGCGCGGACGCCCTAGAATAATCTATAGTGATAACGGGACAAATTTTCGGGGTGCATCTAATGATTTATCAAAACTAAATTGGGCTAAAGTATTAAAGGAAACAGGAACTGAAAGGATAATCTGGAAATTTATTCCACCTACTGCAGCTTGGTGGGGTGGCTGGTGGGAGAGGTTGGTTCGTACAGTAAAAGAATTGCTGTTAAAACGTACTTTAGGTAAATCAGTGTTATCATATGAAGAACTTTATACTATTATTTGTGATTGTGAAACTATAATTAATTCTAGACCCTTAACTTATGTTTCTGAAGATCCGCAAGAATTAGTACCTCTGACACCCGCCATGTTTCTTATCGAGAACAGAAATTCCAATGTTGAAGATCTTGATGAATTAAATTCGTCAAGTCTTAATAAGAGATTAAAGTATAGAACTAAATTGTTAAATGATCTGAGACAACGATTTAGAAAAGAATACCTTAGTCAACTGGTTCAAAAGCATAATGAAAAACGATCTCGGGAACCTGTAGTAGGAGAAATAGTACTGATGGGGGATGATAACAGAAAACGTTTATTTTGGCCTTTAGCCCGAATTACAGAATTGATCCCTGGACGTGATGGAAAGATTCGTACGGTTAAACTTAAGACCCGGCATGGAATAGTTATACGACCAATACAACGCATCTTTCCTCTGGAGATACAGTCCAATGATAGAAACATAATTCCTGATAAGAAACTGGGTGCAGAGGAATCTAATTCTAGTGCTGGGTGTACGTTAAAAAAGGGTATTGCACCTGATGTCTAGTGTGTACGTTAAAAAATGGTATTGCACCAAGGGTGATGCAACAATATTCCTCCTCTGGACGACTTGTAAAAGTTCCAAAAAGACTTGATCTTTTAAATAATGTTTGTTATGAGTTTGAGACTCAACCTGAGTCTCAAAGGGGGGGAGGATGTTGTGAAATGAACTGAAGTAATAACCGGCGCGAGGCGCTGCTGTTTGTGACGTCAGCCTGCGTGCTGAGTGTTTTCGAATGTTTTGCGTGTGGACGAACGAAAGCTGATCTCGGAAGAGTGATACTGTTTTGATGGAAATAAAGAATGATTTATTAAGAATTTTTTTGTCTTTATTCATAATGCACCCAGCCTCGGGTAGAGGCAGGCCCGCAACTGAACGAACTGTTTTAAATATATTTGATTTATATATTTTCTGTGTTCTTCGTAACAATAATTAGGTTCGTTTTGCCAAAATTGAACAATGAAGAATTAAGTAAGTAAAAATTTGGCAAGATCCATTTGAGAAGAAACCAGCCTCTCAGAAACAAAAAGAATTGGTGAAAAAGATGGAAAAATTCCCCCAGTTCACTTAAGGAGCAGATGTAGAAGTAAAGAAAGTATTCACTGAGAAAGTAAAAAGAAAAATAACCATTATTTTCAAAAAAAGTTAACGAAGCCATGAATTGGCTAAAGGATGAAAAGATTCAAGATTTCTTAAGTACATTGAGAAAATTAGAAGAGCTAAGACCCTAGCAGAAAAATTTTAGTAGGCTTCAGAACAGCAATGTATATAATGAAAGTAGCAGAGGAAGAAGACTAGATAGAAAATTCCCTCATGAACTGATGAAAATAAAAGACTTTATTTCATTTCTCAAAAATTTTCTCATTTTTTTCTTCACAGGGTTCCTGTTTTACAGCAGCGTCTCTTGGGAGGGTGACCTCCCACTGGACTGGCTCCTACGATTCAACATGGACTACTGATAGAGCAGAGTGTTTCTACTCAACTCATGCTCAAACTCATGGCTTTGCCACTTTTGACATTTTTTCGTCTCCAGGATGGGGTGCAAATTTGGGGCACCTTTTATCTAAATTAAAAATTACGTGATTGCATAATAATTACTGGCAAGTACTCTTTGTAATAGATACCAGAATCTAAACATACGATTTCAGATTCCAAAGAAGCCATCCGAAGTAGCTAAATACATAGTATTAGTGCTGGTATTTTCTGTATTAACCATCTTATTATAGTTATGTATATGTCTACGCTGTCTGAAAAGATGAAAATACTCGTAATCGCGGACTCTATGATTAAATATTAAAAAAAATATTTGTCTGCGAATCCACTTGTGTATGAAGATGAGTTTCATTGCTTTCCACTGGCTAAGATTGAAAGGTTGACACCTTTCATAGAACTATAAATTACTATGTAAAGCGGGTAATGACGTCATTTCTTAGGGGATGATTCACTTTCTGTTGCTGCCATAATGAGAAATTTAGGCTGGAATCATATCAGCCTATTCTTATTTACAAACCTCAGGGAAAACCAATATTGTGTGGTTCAAAAGGCCTTAACACACTGCCTTATGCAAATAAGTCTTTTGCAATAAGATTTCAGGCAAAGGAACAAAAAGAAAAACATGATGTTGTAGCAGGACTTTTATGTATTGATTCTACTCACAAAGCAAATAAGTATGATTTCCTGAATTTAATTGTCACAGATGAATTTGGTAGTAGTTAGCATGTGATGCATTTTGTTTCAAACTAGTTAGATCAGGGTTACTATGTACAATTTATTTCTTAGTATCAAAAGTGCAATATCTGAGCTTAATACTAATTGTTTAATGACAGATGATAAAAACTATGCATCCTGCATATCACAAAGCATTTGGTCCAGATATTAAACATATACTATGTAAATGATATGTACATAGTGTATGGCAACGTAATTTAATTCTAATGGTTTCAAATCAAGGGTTGAAATTTATTTGAATTTAGTAATATTGCTTGAAGAAACTAATTCTTTATTTATTTCATGATGGATAATTTCCTCCAAAGTTTCGAACTGTTGCACGATCATTTTAAAATTATTTTTAAGGAATATTATTATTGCCGAGCAAATCTGTGGTCATTGGCATACAGAAACTTCCCTCATACGTCCACTGATACCAACATGTATTGCGAGTCATTTCACGATAAATTAAAAACTATGTACACTGCTCCAAAAAAAAAAAAAAAAAAAAAAAAAAATGGGACAGTCCTATATCTCCCGATCTACTGGGCCGATTGACAAAATTCAAATTGCGTTCTTCATGTCTCGAAAGCGCGACTTAGGATATATATTAGATTTATATATAGCACTATTCTAACATAAGTATTTTGACACAAAATCAGACTTTTTCTTAAAAAACATACCAATTTTTTTACATATTTCGATTCTACGACTCAAATTACGCCTAAATATAAAATTTTGTAAAATTTGGAGCGAAATTTATGGAGAAATTAACAAATTTATGTTCACACTTTTCTTTCAGTTTGCGCCAAGAATAGTTCACTTGGCGAACTTCATAATATATGGCAACCTAGTTTCCTTTCCCGTGAGAGGAAAAAAAGTCACCATCATTCCTTTTTCCAAATAATATTCCTTATATTATATTTTTAATTATAACTTATTATTTTAAGTAATTTTTTCTTTTTCGAATTCCATTTTAATTGTTTAAGTTGCATGGTCTTTTTCGAATAACTGTTTTAAAAATTTTCTATTTACCTATTCGAACTGCGTAAATAAAGGTGCAGCGTTCATTTTTTGTTTTCAAATACTTTTCTTTATATATATATTTTTTGTCATAGTTATTATTTTAGGTAATTTTAAAATGTTTATTACTTTTATTTCAATTGTTTGTATTGCATTGTCTCTCAGATAATTGTTTTAAAATTTTCTATTTATTCCTTCAAACTGAGCATTTTAAATATATTTATTAATTTCAATTTTCAGAATTTGATTTTATTTATTTGAACTGCGTTTCTTTCGAAAATACTTTGCAAACCCAGACTACGATGAGTTTTGAAAACTGCATACTATATTAAAAGAGAAAATACAGTAAAGCACAGTTTTACACGCCTTTCAATGTTCCGTTCAGAAAAGATATATATAAATAAGAGAGATGTATAACCGACATTTTAACTTAGGATGACTTGCATACACTGCTTTAAACAGTTTTATCATTGTGCCCATTGCTTTACACAATTTTATCCTACATTAAGTTTCTTAAAATGTTATTCATATTTTAGTCAAATATTTTATTTTTGAAATCGCAAGAATCAAATATCATAACATTGAAAAGTTTTAAATTTAAAAAATACAAATACTAAATTTTACGAAAAAATTTATTTTTCTTCTCTTTTTCTTTAAGCATTCTGAAAGTATATTAAAAAGTATCCAACTTTTCGAAACATTTTGGTATTTCTTACAATAATTTTAAATAAAGTTATCGCCTTTCATTTCATAAACGGCCGAGCGGTAAAGACGCTGATCACAGGTAGTTCGGTCCGAGGTTTGAATCACGCGAACAGGCTGGTTGCATGGGTGTTTTCGTGGTTTTCCCGATGTGTAACGTGTATACGAGCCAGTTTCCCTTAGAAAGTCCTCCCCGAAGGCATCCCTCCCTTTAGGCAGATAGCCCTCGTGTGCTTTGCCATAATTAGATAATCTAATCCAATCCTTAATTAAATGTAATTGATTTGTAACTTCTACTAGAACTGGCATTAAGAATTGAAGTGCAAATAAATAATATCGTGTGCAATCTTGATAAATATAAATTAAAAATATTTGCATTCAGAGAGAAAGTTTTTTGAAATATTTGCAATTACTTTATAAGAAGGATTTATTAATAACCGTAATAATTACTTATTATATTACTGATGATTAGGAATCAGTTCTTGACAATTACATTCTAAATTAGAATTTTAAGAATTATTATAATTTTAAATTAGAATAATGAAAATACGCTACGCACAAAAAATACATTTTAGAATAAAAATGAGTTGATTTTTTATGTTTTTAAAACTTCTTGAATTCATTTAATAAACATCGTATCCTCGTTGTTAATTGAATTCAGAATGTTGGGTGTCGTTTATATAATTATTCTTACTTGTCCACGGAATCTGCTGACTTATCCAGCGATTAAGTAGCTGCAGATCATTTCTACATAACCATTGAACTTCCATTAATTCAGTCTCTAGAGGGTTGTATATTTTATATCATAATTTGACTTTTATAAAAATGATTATTCTAAATCTTATGTTCTATAAAAATATACTGTGCTTTAAAAATATGGATGATAGTACCAGCCGCTCTTTCAGCCACTTCAAAAAAGCATCATTTTGTTTAGAAATAAATTGTGCAGTTAATGTCATAAAATTCAAATAAACATCAAACGAAAATTCTCAGTTTTAGACAATTCGATTTAACGAAGTAAGTAAGTAGCAGACGTTAAAAGCCGAAGGTAAAAATTTACTCTTATTTAAAAAAAAAAAAAAAAAGAGATAGAGCGAATAAAAAAAAATATTAAAAAATTTATTTAAAAAAATAGCTTTTCATATAGTATTAATAAATATTTATTATGCATCATTGAGGGAAAAAATGTCATATAATTAATTCTTCATAAAATTTTACTTGAAACTTAAGGTTAAAAATAGCTGTGGCATTACAGTGTAACAAAAAACCATAGACCACATTTGGCATTATTATCGCTCAAAAAAAAACTTGCCAAATTTCAAAACGCGAAAATATGTAAATTTGTGTATATCTTAGAAAATTTTGAATAAAAAAGTCTAAATTTTTGCAGATATGCTTAAAAATATACCTACTTTAAGATGATGGTAAAAATTTTATAGGTTATAATTCAAAATTTTTTTCGAAAAAAAAAAATTATAAAAAATTATTTAAAAATAGAAATTTAAAAAATAAAACACAAAAAAATGGGTAAATTTTACTTGGAATGAACCTAAATTTCGAAATGTGAGAGAAAAAATCAAAAAAGTTTAATAAAAAAAGAGATATAAATAAATATTTGCCAAATTCAATTAACATTGAGGAGCTAAAATTTTGAGAGCTAATATTTAAAAAACTACTCGTACGATTTTTACAAAACTTGGTATTCTGGCATAATTTGAGTCGTAGAATCGAAATATGTAAAAAAATTGGTATGTTATTTCAGAAAAAGTCCGATTTTGTGTCAAAATACCTATGTTAGATTAGTGCTATATATAAATCTAATATATATCCTAAGTCGCGCTTTCGAGACATGAAGAACGCAATTTGAATTTCGTGAATCGCCCCAGTAGAACGGGAGATACAGCACTGTCCCATTTTTTTTTTTTTTTGAGCAGTGTACTTAAAATGTAAATTTAACAGATGCTTGGATAATTAATTGATGTGCTTTTAAAAATTGAAAAAGAGTTAGTTATATGGCTCATAAGTATAAAATTGAAATTAACTGTGAAGAGAGCATCTGCCCGCCAACTTATAATAAGTGACAATAATCTGGAATAAAAATATCTGATAGCAATGTAACAGAAACACATCCTTGTTTGTGGACTAAAAAATCACAGACAAACAGATAATATTCTATATATAGCTAAGCATTTGCATGAACTATGTCCAGAAAGAGATCATTGTTATTCAAAGTGTATTAACCTCTCCTGTCTAAAAATCTGTGTCATCATTTATATAATTGTAACTGTCCAGACTTCAGCACTCAGTGCATAAAATACATTCACACATGCATAAAATACATTCAGTTATATGCAGGCAGCCAAGTCCATCCGTAATTGTGACAGATATCCTTAAAACTGAAAACTCCTCCCCTCTAAGATCGATTAAAAAATCTAATGCTATTTTAGATATTGTTGTAAGTAACACCAAACATAAAATTAACACTTGGGAGGCATTAAAATAACACAATAAAGCATTACTTAATTATTTAAAATGCAGGACTTTAATGGGGTTTTCATCCGCAGAGAACCCGTTGGCGCCGTTGCATTCTTACTCGCCAAGCTCGCGGTTCATCCACGATGAGCCGAGCCGTAAACGTGATTTTTAGTGCATTAAATTCAAGTTAGCAGATAAAACAATATATTAAGCATATGGTAGTAAAATAAATTTGTATTAGATTCAAGTTAGCACAGAAAGGAATATATTCTTAAGCATAAGACAATATATAAGCATTTATAACGGAAATAAAAATTCATTAAAAAATATAAATTAGTATTAATATACTGAAATTAACCTGTTAAACGTGATATATGAAAAAAATTTGTCTTAAATTCCAGTTAACACAGAAACAATATATTCCTTACACCAGCAGTGGTTTGCTATTTTGATGACCATGGTGATGGCATCAAACTATTCTATCATCTTAGATAATCAATAATATTTTTTTATTTCATTTAATCATCTATTATGTCACACCTGCCATCCTCTGAAAAGGTTATTGTTAGAAAAGCATTAACAATATATTATCTTGTTAAAATTTTACGCCATAAAAATTGATTTATTCTTATAATTTTAGATGACAATAACCAATAATAAAAATAAAAGCATTACTTAATTATTTAAAATGCACATGCACATTTTTACGGTCTACGAAATCAAATTATTTTAGACTTTGGAAACCTCATTAAGAACACAA